AAAGAAAGAAAGAAAGAAAGAAAGAAAGAAAGAAAGAAAGAAAGAAAGAAAGAAAGAAAGAAAGAAAGAAAGAAAGAAAGAAAGAAAGAAAGAAAGAAAGAAAGAAAGAAAGAAAGAAAGAAAGAAAGAAAGAAAGAAAGAAAGAAAGAAAGAAAGAAAGAAAGAAAGAAAGAAAGAAAGAAAGAAAGAAAGAAAGAAAGAAAGAAAGAAAGAAAGAAAGAAAAACATTCTGAAATTTTCACTTGGAATAGAGATCTCGTCTGCGTCCTGCTGAGTTGCTTTAAAGGTGGGTTTTTGCTATTCACCTTTTCCTCCTCCTCTGGCAGCTTTCTACTTAGGTTTGACAAGTGACGTTATTAGTGTTGATGGCCAAGCCTTGAACTCGCTATGTTGATTGCCTGAATGTTTCTGTTTCTCAGTGTAATGAAAGAACAATCAGTGCCTCTGTGATATCCTCATGCAGCACTAACTGCTATTAGAATTTATTATCATTTGTTTATAAGTATTTATTACATGTTCTGACAAGAATCTTTACAGGCTCCAACTGAGACTGAAGCACTGTACTATGAGGCTTTGCATAGATGCACAGGAACATGCTAAGAACTTACAGTCTCTATAAATGAATAAGAATGGAGAAAAAGAACGTGAAGTAGAAAACTGCCTTTGCTAGCAGCCATTTCAGCAGCTACCATGCAGCGCTTCAGTCCCCACTGAGGGACATTTGATCACACTTCCTGTCTAATTACAGCAGTCAGAATTTACTGTTCTTCATTCTGGTGTTTCAGCTAGGAACATAATAACAAGTAGCTCTGAAAAACAAAGGCTTTCTGAATACCAAAAATCACAAAAAGGCAAAAGCAGGAGGAGGAAAGGAATGAATAATTGTTCTGCATGCAAGGTGCCTTCCCACCTCCTATCTACAAACAGTACCCCCACCAGGAGTAAAATATATGTTTTCTTATAAGAAGAAATACTGAGATCAAGTTGCTTTTTCTTTCTATAGAAAACTTTTGTCTCCAAAGACATCAGTGAGAAAACTAACAAGAGCATTTTGGGAGAATAGCTATGATTCCAGAAGGACACTCAGGATGAAATTCAGTTGTCTAAACCGGCATCTATGGCTCTTGTTAGACCTCATGGGATGGCATCTGAGACAAATGCACCAGGCTGGCTGATATTATGTGGGACCTAGGGGAGCTCCTTGCCTTCATGGCAAAACAGGTAGAGGCTATGTGGTATGTCATAAGGAGTGGTGGGGGAAAAAAAAAAAAAAAGAAAATAGAGAGAAAGGAAAAGGAATAGGAAAATGAAAAGACAAAAAGAGAAAAAAAAGAAAGTGCCTGAACTTTGTATTTAAAAGTCAAAATTAAAATTGAAGGGAAAAATAAAACAACAAAAACATTATTGGATGTGGGTACTCAGTATCATCTCTGGAGCATACCTGGATATAAGACAGCATCATGAGTGTCAACAGAAACCTGGTTTTATGTCATTTATCTGCGAGGCAGAAAAGACCTGAAAGTCTCCCATCTTCCTTGAGTATTTCCACACCTTCTGGGTCTGGAGGTATATGTACACAGATAGGGCCAGTAGCGTCTTTAAGCGTTTACCCTAAAAGATTTGGTCTGTCTTTTGATCTGTCTTTCATTCCTGTGTTTGGATGGAGCGGGAGAAAGATATTCTCTTCTTGTAAGACTCTGAACATGTTTTTCTTGTTCTAAAACTTACCAGCTTTAAAAGAAAAATGTTGGAGGAGAGGGGGAAAAGACAAAAAAGAAAATACAATACAGCAAGGCACAAAACAAGGACATGATAAAGCAAACAGGAAAAGTTTTTTCTTTTTCGCTCAGTCTAACAAATAGTAGGAGATGAATTTGTGTCAGGTAACGTGTTCCATGCCTCTAAGTTAATTAGCAGTAAATGAGTATTTAGTTAGTGGGAGGGGTAGAAATCAAGAAACTTATTTCTATTTCTCAGTGTTCTGTGCATTTAAATTCACAAGTATACTTCTAGAGGAAGCTGCCTCTCCAGCAGAAAGGTCTGTACTGATCAAGGGAGCTGCCAGTTTCAGATACACTTAAGAAGGTATCCGTTGCCAAGGGGCCTCAGAGTTGTAACTGTTCGCTGTTCTCATTTTCTCTTCTGCCAATTATCCAAACACTTTTCCCATTCACTTCATAATAATGATAATAATACCTTCATTAAATAATCTCAAGGCGATTTCTACTATAAAACAAATTGGGGTTATTTCACCCTATTGACAAGAAGCAGAAGGGGTCATTTAGCCTTTGGCCGAAGCTAAATGCCCAAGCAATCACCAGTTTTCTCTACTGTGAAAAACACAGGGAAAAATGTGCTGCTACTACCATTGCAATGAAGCCAGTTCCTTGAATATCTGTCACATTTTATGTGCCTGAAGGAACCAAAGATTCTTCTAGACCAATGGGCATCATCGTTTGTTAACTTTGCATTGTTTGTGCCTTTGGCCAAGCCATGAGGATAAGGGACCCGAAATACCTCAGTGTTGCAAGGACAAAGCATCATGAAGAGGGCTTGATTGTTCCTTTTCATCACTTCTCAGCTGCAGAGCTACAGATCATTTTCTGAGCACGGCATCAACCTGTCCTTAATGCATCACTGAATTCATCAAAGTCTTCTTTTGTGAGAATCCTTTAATATTCCTGAAGTCTGAACTTGTGATGCTGTGATTGAAGGTGGCTGGAGCAACAATGAACCTTTGCTGCCAATGGGAAAGACATCACCAGTAACTGCTGTATCAAATTCCAGGTAGATTGGCGCAGTGTAGAAATAACCCACTCTAAGCCAGCAATCACACACAGCTTGCTGCTATTCATGACAGCGCTGTAAGATATGCAAAATATAATTCTACCTTGTGATTGTAGATGAGTTCCAAATGCAAAGTCTTGCAAAAAAAATGCACACAGAAACTAAAACTGGAGTCACTGGTCTAAACTTATCACCAGTAATGACACCATCATTCTATTTTTATGCCAGACTAGGTGTTTACAGCATTATAAGAGTAACTTTATGCAACATTCTCAGTCTTTTTCTCTAATACCCTTATTACTGCAGCTATAGCAAACTGAAGGTATAGGACAAAGAATTTTTGCAAAGAGAGGTTATATCTTTTATTAAGCCAACTAATACAGTTTGGGAAAAAATAGTCAGATTTTTGGCAGCAGAGTGTGTGCTCCTGACACCTCCTCTATTTTCCCCAATGATCAGTTTAATAAAACCTGTTACCTAACCCTGAAAATCCAGGATTAAGATCACGAAATAACTACACTGTCCAGAGACATCCACTTCTCAGTGTCCTAACAATGTTCAGAACATGGTCCATAGTAATAAGCCAGTGAGTCCTTGAGAAAATAAAAGCCACGTTTTAATTTGTGCCTCAAATTTGTGCTGCAGATTGCTAGACATATGGAGCTCATTAAAGGCTTTCAAAGATAACAGAGCCATTGTCATTGGACTCTTGTTTCAAGTGCATATGGTTGCTTATGTACATGACAGTAGCAAAACACACAGTTTATCTCACAGTCTCTTCCAGTACCTGAACAGTTGAAAGTATTACACACAGAGGTACTTGACAGTTCTCCAATTGTGCCCTTCCACCAAAACACTTAGGTCAAAGATCAAGAGAAGATGGTTATGCTCACTAGTTTTGACAGAACTCAGGGGACTGAGAATGCAGGATGAGTTCTGAGTACTCAAGGGAAATGCATAGTGTGTAAGAAACCTATCATCTAAGGAAAAAATGGGGCAGTGAACTTAGGACTAGTGTAGAACATATGTTTGAAACATCATGCCCTGCGTGGAGAGTTGGTCTTCAAAAATATTTTGCTTTTAGAAAAAAAAAAAAAAAGAGTCTGAAAAATATTTATAAATGCAAGGATACAATGAATTAATCTCAGAGGCCTTCATCAATAAGTTTATATTGCTACAGTTTCATGAGTGCTTAGAATTCCGCCACCATGCGTAAAACTAAAATGGACACTATGAAGACATATAGCAAATGACAGATAAGACACACTTTTATTATTCTATCATTAGCATTGTTAATATTGATACATGACACTAACTCTTAATTTTGACATTAAAAATGCTATCATGACAATTCAATGAATTCCCTTTCCTTCTTTCTTTATGCTTTTATCTTTCTTTCTCTTCCTTCCTTTCCGTCCTTCTTTCTTTCCTTTTTCGCTCTCTCTTTTCAGATTGTTGTTGCTTTTATTTAATTTCCAGAAGATCTTGACCAATAAATCTGAAAGGAACACGGTGTGGGAAGTAAAATTAAACCAATCTAGCAGAGAAAATCATAACAAGAATCATTGGATGGGAGTTAAAGCCAGACAGATTCAAATGAGAAATAAAGCACTGTGAGTGCAGTTAGCCACTGGAACAGGCTATGACTGGTACCAGATTTACATATTTTGTTTCCTTTGTGGAAAATATGTTTTAGAAAGTTCTTTACACTGGTAGCTGATTCAGTAGTGAAATACTTGGTCTAAATGTACCTAATTGCATTAGAGGTCAGATCAAGGCCTCTGACAGCCTGCAAATATGTGAAGAAACTCTAACAGTTCTTCTATAGCCCCTCTTTTTCTATGCATTAAGTTTTCTCTAGACTGGTGAAATTTTGCTCTGAATTCATTAGTCAGCCATTGTTAGGTGCCAAAATAATATCAGAAAGCATGATGCAGACATATATTCAGACCAAGCAAGCTCCTAGCCCATTGTCTATACCCAAAGCTCTAGCCATCCAAGTTTATTTCTCCACTGGGTTCCCTCTATTTCTGTGTCCAGGAACTCAGACCTTCAAAGAAGGCAGGCAGACACGTTTATCATCTAAGACCTCACTATATGGCATTCTGCGAGTCATAAAATCATTGTTAGATGAATGACCCACACTCTTCCTATTCAGAAGCTGGAAGAGAAATTGGCTGCATTACAAGAGTGTAATTAATGAGCAGACATAAATAAATGTGTTCTGTTAGCATCATGCTTAGATAGCATTATGTTGCTTTCTTCTGTTCTGGTCTACAAGGGCCAGTAGTAGAAATATTTTCTCATTAAATCTAACGAGAACATACGGACTTTGGATTAGGGGGATGGGTATTTGTTGCATTTGGGGCATTTTTCAGGCATGATTATGAGAATTCCATTCAGAAAAGAAGGTTAATATTCTTCCATTTCACAAGCAAGAGAAAGAGGTGCAATTCAGATCAGACCACAAAAGAAGTTCTAAGGATCTTGTTCATTCTCTGCACAAATACCAACTCAAAATCATGTTCTCACATCCAATAGGAGATGCAGTCCATAGACAGAGGGGAAAAGGGGAAAACATGCATTCTAAGCCCTCTGAGGCAAAGACTGCAATAAACCGTTGATAGGGGATGCATAACTGACCTGAAATCACAGACATTGACAAAGAGATCCATGCCAGTGCATAATATCTGTTTATGCCATCTACTGCTCTACTTACTGTACCACCAGTAAAATTTTTACCCTACATCTGCCTTTCTTCATTAGCTTTCCTACCCACATCTGTTTCATCATTACAACTCACTTGCCTTTTCTTTCCAGATAAATTACCACATCAGTTGATAACCCATGAATAGTTATCAGATGATTAGCGTTTACAGCTTGAAATAGGTCTAATGTAAATAGCTCTATAACAATACTAACTGCAGCTTACTGGTAAACAGAAATAGAGAAAATACAGGTTAGTTTAGCTTCTAATATCTGATTGGTGCATTACATGTGCCAGTCACTGCATTATCCACTACTCAGCATCTGAATTTTTCTGAGCAATTTTTCCATAAATAATTTTGTACACCTGAATCTTCTGCCATGCCCACTCCTTGCAGCTGCAGTGGCCCTATTATTAACTACCTTGGACCTGCCTTTAGCCTCATCAGCAGGAGCCATTGAATTATTACTGGCAGGTGCCATGAATGGTAGGCATGATTCCAACCATCACAAGGGTAGTGTTAGTTCTTCTAGAGAAGAAACCCCTCTGGCAATGACACTATACACAGTAGAAGCTCTGATTATGTCTTGGACATACATATATCACTATGGAGCAGTTTTATTAAGACTGCAGTGCAGCAGCTGCTGTGACAGGAAAGGAACTGATGATTAAGTAAGTCTTGGCGTTATCTCAAGGACTAGCCAAGACAAAAGGGTCACCCCATTCTCATAGACAAAGATGACACCAGGAGATGTGGTCAAATATGAACAGTGTAAATCACAGCATGGCAATAGTTGCTTCCATTGCCAATTAGTACTTTACACCCAGTACTTCAAGGAGCAAGAGCAATATATTAGGATACCTGCATGTATACCAGAAAATAGACTAGAAGTAATACTGACATGACAACGCAGAGCTCATGGGTGCCTCTGAGTTGCTGCAGAACCCAAAAGATTTTTGGAAAACATAATAATCATCTCCCATCGTCGTTATGTGAGGGTGGCATCTTTCTTGACACCGCACAATTCATACTTCGCTCCCTCACATGTTATTCTCCCTATACAGAAAAGCACAGTGAATGAGGCTGAATCACATTCCTCTCCATTTTGTGGCTGAGGATGTCTCAAGCATAGTTGGTATGGAGCAGCGTTTATGCTGAGACAGACCATGACACATCAAGTAGTCTCCAATTTGCCCTGAACACCTGCTGACCAGAACCCCAGTCACCTCTGTGGTGCTCAGGTGGGTACTCCTAGATCAGTTCAGGATTAAGTCTTTTTCTACTCCCTTTCAATCACTACTTTCCTAATATAACTACTTTGCTTCCTGTTTTTTTAGGAAAATAATTCTTTTCCCCTGTGCTCAAAAGAGCTGCCTAAAATATGTATTGGTTTTCAACTATGGAAAAAGTGATTTCCCCTTCCCTCTTTTGCTGCTAAACTACAGTCTGAAAAATACATTTATTCTCTGATTCATATAACTCAATTACTCCCTTTGGGATCTTAGATTGTGCATGATTGCCTATAAAATATTTTCCCTTTGCTTTGGAAAAGATATTTTCCCCATTTGGGCTCTTAAACACTTGTTCTAGGAACAGGTAGATGCTGTCATTCAAAAGTCCATTGTTTGTGGCTCATTTGTGACCTTATTTTTACCTCTTCCCCCCCAGCACAGCAGATCAGCAGGCGGTTACACAAGAAAGCTGTTTTGGTGAGCTGCAAATCTGCTGAAAGAACTGTTCTCACAGGATTTCAGTCTATGACAAAGGAAGCATCAGCTATTTATGACTTAGTAATGGTGGAGCCTCCAGGAGTGGAGAAACTCAGCATTAATATGAGAAAAGGGAACTTTCTATTCCAGCAGCTGGATGGGCAGATCCCATCGTTTTCTCTCAATTCTGACTCCCACGCTAATTAATACAAACCAGCACCCTACAGGATCTCCATAAATCCCGACCTGAATGGATACTCTGCTGCACAGTAACAACCGATTCATTTCAAATTAACCCTTCAGTCTCAGAGGAAAGATGGACACATAGCAAAAAACACACAATCATAGAATCATGGAATTATTTAAGCTGGAAAGAACACTTAAAAGTCATCTGTCCAACTCCCCTGCAGTGAACAAGGATACCTGCAGCTTGATCAGGAGCTCAGAGCCCTGTTCAGCCAGACTGAATTTCTCCAGGAAATGGATGAGACAACCTGTTCCAACACCTCACTACTCTTATTGCAAAACTCCTTGTCCTGTCACAGCAGAGCCTGCTAAAGAGTCTATTATTTACTTTCATAGCTCCCTTTAGATATTGAAATATACATAACAGCATTTATCTCCAAAACAATGAGTGGATCTGAAACTACTAGTTAGGCACAACTTTCTAGCAAAATTAATAACCAAATAAATGAAATAAATTGTGAGATTAAGTGGTAGATTTTACGTCAGATATATCTAAACCAAGACAAGTGTTATGAAATCAAGTTGGGAGGAAGTTTTGATCTGCCTGAGGGGGAAAAAGGCACTACAGGGGGACCTGGATAGACTGAACTGATGGGCCAAGGCATGAGTTTCAATAGGGCCAAAAGCTGGGTCCTGCATTTTACCACAACAACCCCAGGCAACCTTACACGTTTGGGGAGGAGTGACTGGAAAGCTGCCTGATGGAAAGGGACCTTGGTGTATTGATGGACAGTTAGCTCAATATGAGCCAGCAGTGTGTCCAGGTGGCCAAGAAGGCCAGTGGCATTCTGGCTTGTATCAGGAATGGTGTGGTGAGTGAGACTAGTGAAGTCATCCTGCCCCTGTATTCAACATTGATGAAACCTCACCTCGAGTACTATGTACAGTTTTAGGAACCTCAGTACAGAAAGGGCATTGAGGTACTGGAGCAGGTCCAAAGAAGGGCAACTAGGCTTGTGAAGGGCTTGGAGAATGTGCCCTGCAAGGAGAGACTGAAGGAACTGGGGATATTTAGTCTGGGGAAAAGGACGCTGAGGGGAGACCTGATTGCTCTCTTCCAGTATCTGAAAGGTACTTACACAGGGTTGGTCTCTTCTCACTGGTGACAGGTGACAGGATGAGGGGAAATGGCCTAAAGTTGCACCATGGTAAGTTTAGGTTGGATATCAGGAAACACTTCTTTACAGAAAGGGTTGTTAAGCACTGCAATAGGTTCCCCAGGGAGGTGTTTGAGTCACCATCCCTGGATGTGTTTAAAAGCCATTTGGATGTAGGTCTTGGTGCCATGATTTAGCAGAGGGTTGTTAAGAGTTAGGGTAGTCTGGTTAGGTTGTGGTTGAACTCGATGGTCTTTAAGGTCTTTTCCAACCTGAGCAATCCTATTACTCTATGAAAGCTAAATCTTAGTCCAGTACTGATTATTGGCATCCCTATGGGGTCAATAAGGCCAAATCCTGTGTACTGTACTTTGCAGAAGCTTGAGCTAGGTGGTCGCAATGATCTCTCACAGCTTTGAAATCTCTTTTTCTATGAGTATCAGAAAAGAGATTTGCTATTTTTTAAAACTGTTTTCAACAATTAATTCCAGTTTGTGTCTATCAAAAGAACATAAAGACACTCTGAGGGAATAATGAGGGGGAAGGGAAATTAAAGGGCTTTTATCATGGAGTTCTTGTTTTTAGAGAAATCTCAGCAGTTATTCATAGATGCAGATCAGCCAATACATCCTTTCTGGTGTCTTCTCTAGGCAATATAATTTAAAAGAATAAAAAACAAATAAATGAGTTAGAAGACATTCTTATTATGTGTTTATGTTTTTGCTGACTTACTGGGATACCTTCTGAATGTGGCCCATCAAGTTTAGTTGGGTGTGAGCTTGCCTACCCAAAAAGAATTGCAGGGGTAGTAAGGAACCTCAAGAGATCATTGAGTCCAGCCAGACTACAGTATCTCAGCAGTCTCTTCTACTTGCCCACGGTGCCATGAAGAAGAGGGAGAAAAGCAAATAGAAGTCACACACACACACAAAAAAAAAAATCTAACATTTAAAATTTTAAACACATTAGTTGGTTAATGTAGAGTGTATGCCATGTTCCTAGGGCTGGAAAATGCTTTGCTCCAGAAATCCAGGTGAAAAAGATCCATATTAAAAGGCACGGATATAAAATTCCCATTCATTAAAGCATCATGACAGTATTACACAAATAATCAAATGCTTGTGAAAACAATAGTACCACTACTACTAATAAAATTTATTTTAATTTCTCAGTGATCAAATGTCTCCAAACACTTAATTCTATGTTTATGTCTCTATGGCAATGGACATGTCAAAAAAAATCTCACAAGGATCAAATCCTTAATGAATCAAAATAAATTGCTCAAGGAATTAATTTGGCTGAGATAAAACTAGCCACTCTGGGATTTTTAAAAAGACCTGTCAAAAATTGTGATGCTAAGATCTTATTTAAGCACACTAAGATAAGGATGAAAATGAAATATATTCTTTATTCACAGTCAGGATTTTTGAGTTTCATTTAAAAATAAAAATAAAAATAAAAATAGCTGCTTAACAAACGTATCTATTTCATGACTGACATTTTAATGTATACAGCTGACACAAAATTTCAAAGAGTTATATCAACAGTTAACACTGAAAACTGGCCCTTAAGACTTGCCAAAAAGCATGCATTTTATGCATTTAGTAACATTTATACTCAGGTTTGTACCCAGTTCATTTGCAACTGCTTGCAATCAAGGTTTCTGGCCATTAGGGGCACTTAAGAATGCTTTTGAAAAAGAAACAAGATGGTTGTTCCTCTTCGGTACAAACTAAAAAAGGAGTAGATGGCAGTACATCCAGTAGAAAAGGTGAAAAAGCCCTTTTCCAGAAGCTTCTTTAACACTTAGAAGGTTCTCCACACTTGTCTCAATCTTCTTTAAGCAAGATTTCAATCATTTTACCCAATAATGATCTCAATTGTCTCCTAGACACCAATGTTTATCCACACCACACATCTTCATAACCTCTGTATATCCATCTCCTGTCTCAGAATTGTCTCCAGTCCCTCACTGACCACCTTCTGAGCAGTTCCATGATTTCCCACTCCACTGGCTGCAGTGTGAACTGTTTGCAGCTTGGAGTGAGTGTCTATATTCACTCAATAAGTAATGTACTTCATTCAAGGCATGATACAATATATGTCCTCTACTAGCAGGTTCTGATGTAACGTTGTTTTGCTATACAATTAGATATATGCTTGTTCCTGAGTCTAAAAGTGTACTCTTGGACTTCACTGCATTGACTCAGTTCTAGCAACCTGCTCTAGCTAATTTCTTGGTTACTTGTGTTTTTGCTATTTGCTTTTTATTTAAATATTTTTTTTTTTTTTTTAGGCATTGTTTTAAATGCAGACTACTGAACAGTTCCACTTTAAGTTGTTTGAAGACAAACATTCCTTCCCATTCAATATAATAAAGTGAAAGACTCAACATTCTATCAAGAATTTCCTTTCTATCTATCAGTGCACCAAGGGCGCCAAAATGGCATTTTGAATTTTGTATGGAAATGCTTGCCTAAGCATCCTCAGATTTAGCCTACAGATGTTTCCCATTAAAATACCGAAAAAAAACAAAATTTCTTAACATCTCTGGATAAATGCATTCAACATGATATATCCAAGTCATCAGTGCTAGACACCTGCTTTTTTAACTAACTTCTCCAACTGAGTTGCTATATCAGATGTATTGTGCCTAGTTTTAAGACCAGAGCAGTTCAGGTAGCAGTTTAGAGCTAGCAATGAAAGAACTGTGCCACTAACAAACTTGGTTTGCTATCATTGGAAGCAAAGCGGATGCTGTCATCAGTCTGACCCATGCTGGTGACACTGTGCTTTCTGATTCCTAATCCTGGACAACCAAGAGAGATGTACCTATTGCCTTATGAACACATATTCACTCTAAAATCAGAAAGGAGCATCATTACTATCAATATTCCTGATGCAAATGTAGTAGCAGTGTTACCAAAAGAGATTATTACTATTTCATCCTGCTGGTAGGTGTCACACAAAAGAAAAGGCGTGAGTAACTATTCACTGTAGCTTGAGCTTCCAAGCTTTGTTATTCACCCGGGGATTTCTTAAGCAAGGAGTTATTAATTCTGTCCTTTGGAAAAACCAAAGATGTTAGGAGTAATTCTCACATTAAGTAGATGGATTAGCAGCCAACAGTGGAGCAGAGCCAGTTGAGCATCCTTGAGTCTCCACAGCAACATGATTTATCCTAGACAAACTGTACTCAGAATAAGCAATTTTGCAAGTCTGTTTTTAGGAAAAAAAAATGCTTCTGGTAGCACAATTTAAGAGCACGAATTTGCTTATGCATTGTCTACTGGTCAACGAAAAGATAAAGCAGTTGTTATGCCTTTAAGAGAACAGTTCTGTTTCTCTGCACAAGCAGCTAAGCATCCACTACCAATGATAGGATTTCCAGAGTATCTTTGATGAATTGGATAGATTAGAGAATCTATCTTTTTCGAAACTCCTATAGAGGAGGCAGTGATAGATTTTTGGATTTGTTCACCACCTCTTCTTTAGCATCACTAGATGCTGGACTCACTTATATCAATAGCTGTTATATCCAAACTATCATAACCAAGGAGCCCATAAACCGTGGAAAAGAAAAAAGAAATAAAATCTCCTCATATGGGATTTGCTCTGAACAACTTTTGATTTTGCTGAGAGAAATAATTTGCATCAAAAATGTGCTACAAAGCAACCTGCAGACACAAGTTAAGGAGGGAGTATTCTGAGACCGTCAAGCCAAAGTCTCATTTAGTGGTCTTAAAACAGAAGTCAGCAACATGTGGCCCCTGAGCCATATGCACCTCTTAAGCTGTTCAAGTAAGGTTTCTATGCCAGGGCTGAATCATACCTCGGGAAGGGGAGTAATGGGCCATGCTGCCATAGTGACTGCGGGTATAAAGAGAATCTCCTGCTAATAGCAAGTATCAAGCCAGAAGGGGCTAATGAAACTGATATCACTGGGTGACCTTGAAACACTATGTACATAGCCCCACCAATTCCCAAAATAGGACCCATGATGAGCCATTGTCATCTCCCGTCTGTGAATTGCTCTTCAATCATCTCTCCCATGGCTTCACCATGTGTCCTATGGTTTAAAGCCATATGAAAACACACAGGAATGGCCACCCCGTGCTGCCCTGCAAACAGTGTTTGATATATTTACTGGAGAAGAGGTTTGGAAAATCTATTTGTAATGAAGATAGATAATTATATAAAATGCAAAAGCGAAAAAGATAAAAATCCTTCTGTGCTTCCTAGTGCTTGAGTTTTAGAGCATGATCCTTGATTACTTTATATATTTATTAACTGGCACCAAATCATGATCCCTTGGTAAATGCTTTTAATTTTAATTTCAAAAGAATGTAACTTTTTATGGCTGCTTAAACTGTATTTTTAAATCACTGTGAATGTTCCTTAAATAAAAAAATTTTCAGCAGTGATAGGGGAAGAGTGGTACACGGAGACTTAGTCAGATTTTGACATTTATCATCACAAGCAGCACTAGTGAA